CTATAACAGCACTTCATAATCGATCTATTAGTAAAATATGAAAATCATAGATCAAATACATCATTTGCACATTTTAGAATTGTCTCTTATGTGCTACATTGTTTGTTCATTCCTGTTGTTATTTTGATTGTTTTCCGTTTCCTTCGTTTAGTTTCAACCTACTACTCGCAGACATTCTGTGATGTGCGCTACTGATATCGACATAAGTAGTATGTAACGCTAGTCAGGAATAGTATATCTGGCAGCAGGTCAAGAAGATCGAGGAGGAAAGAACGGGAACAGAAAGCAATTCGTATGGAAATGCAGGAGCAATGAAGTCTAAGTCAATTAACGAACATTTTGCAAATGAAGTATTTACTATATGATTCTCAGTCTTACTAAGACATTCTGAATGTAACCGAGGTTATATTATGGATGGATAACAGTTACGGTGCCATTGGAAATAAGATAGCACTGGGTAGACGTTTCTTTCTAGTATGAAGTTCTTCAACGGTTAGCATACATTGTACCCCGCGACACCGATATAAAGTCTCGATAAGAGTGCTTAAGCCTTACGACACAGTTTAGGCTCAGTGGTCGAGATTATTGACTTCGATTTTTCTTCTTTATGGTATGGCAAAACTCAACGAAATTCAGGTTATTAGGTTGATCAAAGAACAAAACATATTTGTTTTGAGATAACGGTGATAGAAATGATTCATCCCAAGGAATCTATGTAATAAAGTATGTCATATCCATCACCGCTTATCTGAAAGTTAGTAACAATAAGATATTGAATGTATTAAAGAGATAGAATGTTGAAGTCAGCGTCCGTATCATTACCAAAATTTTAATTGTGCTGACTTTTGAGTGGACTGTTTACAATAGAAATAGTGATGTATCCTTAATATCCCAAAGGCGAGAAAATTGAGTTTCTGATGTATTTCAGCCTAGCCTACAATTCTTTTCCAAAGAATATATAGCACAGAGAAACAAAGCATAATACTTAGAATACCTCCAACAAGAATTGATTGTTAAGAGTGTGAGATTTTCTTAACAAACGTCCCTCTCCACACCCCACCTGTACTCTTCATTTAGTCAAAAGCGTCAAATTAATCGGTCAATTAAATGCATATTTCCGGGGACTATTAAAGTAGTGATTCTAGATTGTAGATATCGGATTCTAATAACGATCATCACTGTCGTTTGCCATGTCCATTTTTAAGAGTGAAGATGATATAATTTTCGGAGGTATTTACTGTTGTAGGAATTTCGATGAAAACAGAATTCTTGAGACAATCAAAGACTTATGTGGATGAAACTCTCATCTCATGATGAGACAGTTGTCGAAATTCATGTGATTTCCTTATGAAATATGTATGTCAAATTAATTCATCTTCATTGATCAATAAATTCTCAGGCACTACTAAGAATGGTTTTGAAATTCGTTCTTTACCTGGTAATATAGATAACTCGTCAGTTGTGTATGTGAAACTTATTCATATATTCGGACTGAAAGGTTTTTACGCATTATCCTGATGATCATTATTACAATCATGAGTTGTTGTATCTCATGGGAATAACCCTAGTTTTCGCTGTTTAACGTCTAATTTCGAGAAAACTATTCACCCTTTACTGATTTATTGGACTGTCTTATGTTGAAGATTTTGTGCATTCTCATTGCAATTAGAAAATGATTGCCAAAGATGTTTTCAACAAACGACAACATGTTTATAAAAAAAATCAGAACTTGCAGGTTTGTGTGACTCATACTATAAACTTTACTTAATGGGTGATTTTAAACCCTAGCTGTCAGTCAGTCAGCTACAACATAGGACCAGGCACATTTATGAATCGGTCCAAATTGCCACATCTCATTAGGACAACAAGGTGATCACCAGATTCATAGGAGTAGTTACTTCAATGGTAGTAATATATAAAAGAAAGATTGTGTATAAGGATATAATACAAGAAGAAAGAATTAATTTGTAGAAAGAAATGTATAAAATAATTCTAATCTCACAGTTCAAGGGTTCCTTAGCTGTACATATCGTCTATCTTGTAGATGCAACTGAGACATAATCTGATATGAACAGAGATTTAAAGTGTTACATTCGTAACACAAATTAGAAAGAAAATGTAGCTGGCCAACTTACGGACGTAGTTTTCCGTTGTTGGTATTCACAATTCCAAATGATCAGTCTCTACTGTTTTTACTGGTTAACAAAAATTGCCTAGTTGATTTCCATTCATCTTTTTAACTCTAAGAATGGATTTTTATCATTGTTCTATTAATTCATCCTATTTCTATTTTCAAAATATGCAAAATACATAAAGAGTACTTGATATTTTCATTACCAGTAGATTACTATAGTAATAACAAGTGTTTCACCATAAGTTTTAAACAAGCATTATTAAGATTTAATCAATATGAAGGCATACACCTTAAGCCATGTTTATACAAACGAGAACTTAATAAGGATTGTAAAGATTGTTAAGACCTAATATTGATTTACAAGTTTCCTCAAAATCAATACATTTTACAATAAAAATCAATTTAACATTTTATCACTTTGTAACTATTTTTGTCACACTTTAATCATTATGGTTTCTATGCTGATTTAGGTAATCAACTCAACTAAGAATATTAGTTAGCTGTATGTCATTAACGTTGTATTAATGATATATCTTTGCTTAAATCAAGTTATTTAGACACTTATGAACAGAAATTTAATAGAGAAAATGCAACATTTTGGCGGAGTTTTGTTCTCTGAGCTGGATGGTTTTGTCGTGGAGTTGTCATCATTCTTCTGAACGACATCATCAGCACAAACTTCAGGTAGAAGAAACATAAAAAAGACTAGTGGACTTCCATAAACTTGGTACTCAAATTAGTTTAGGAAGATTGAAAATTTTACAATTAAATTGACTATTCTACGAACATTACATCATAATTTTTTTTATCTAAGAATATTTGTTATCAGCTTAAAATAGGCATGTTTCTTTAATGGATTACATAATTGTTCTAGGAAGTCGTTCGATTTTCTTTTTATTTGGAATTCGTCGAGTGAATCCTTTAGAATCTCAGTTGATGTTTATAAAGGGATCGGAACACCAACCAATATTCATCGCTTTAAACTCCAGAGAAGTTTTTATCATACTACCGAATCACATTCATTATCAACTTATCTTTTGGATAATAATATCACTTATCAATTATATGGGTTTGTTATTTACAGTTGTTTATATTTAAGACTGAATTTGTGAAGTATTTTATTGATTAATGATGTAATGTGTACATTGTCATTCATACAGTTCATAAAAATACTGATAATATTGTAATGAACAAAAACACAGGTGGGAACGACCAAATGTATTTAACACAAAATTACAGTTATTTGGTAAAAATGTAAAAACCTTACATTCAATCCTTCATTTGTAAAATGTTCATTAATTGTTCCTTCATTTCCATACCCATTACTTTCTGTTCCCATTCTTTCCTATTCTATCTTCTCAACCTTCTGCTGCCAGGTTTCCCACTTTCGATTGGTGTTATATACCACTTATATCTGTCGACATAAGTAGCATACACCACAGTATCACTAATGGAATCGAAGAGGATGTCTAATAATGAAACTGGTAGTCTGGATTTTTGACGAGGCAAAAGTAACATTTTCACTGTAGAAGGATCCATAGGTTTTGTTCATTGTTTATGAAATAAAATTGGCAATACTATTTCTATCACAATTAACTGGTTGTTAGTTTGAAAACTGATATGCTCATTTCTGACACTTCTGAATGTCAGAAACTGTAAGACAATCTGAAACTGTCGCGAATGAATATCAGCTCAAGTTGTCACACACTATTTCAGTATACCAGTACTAAAACGATAAATAGATAATATCCATTGAAGTATAAAGCTCAGTGTGAGCTATATTTTGTTTATGATGAACTCATGAGACCGGAACATTGAAAGAATTGCATAACGCTGAACTTAATTTTTAGGGAAAGATGAACAGATGCATCTAAGACCAATGTTGAACCAGAAAACTGAACATTTTACAGTATAGCCGCGAGTATCTATCAGGTTACCTACAATTTCCCTCACTACGAGTGAGCATTTCATGTCAGGGTGAGTAGTATATAATCATATGTGACACATCTCAACCACTTAAATCAGTGAAATGCCTATAGTTAAACCAACCAACTTAAACAGTACGTCGTTGGGCCTTATAACTAGCCTCTATGTTATATAGTTATTTCAGCATACATTTTCAAAAGTTTGAAGAGATCTATAATTGAATATGTAAAACCTCTGCATATTTTCAAATTTCAAAGTCCGTATTTCATAGTTATAAAATAATATAAAGTAGATTACTTCATTCATCTTTATCTATTATAACAGCAGTAATTCAGAAAGAATATATGATGGAAACCTTTCATTATTATTCAATCTGAACTGGATTAAATATCTCCTTATTGACTAGTAACACATACATTTTTGTTTTAGTTCATATATTTTACTCAATGCTATATACAATATAAATTAAGAACATGTTGTGTTCGTGTTTACTTATTCGATTAAAAAATATGTTAACATATTTGTAAACTGTAGTCCGCTCTCCCTCTCGAAATTCCCTCACATAGACACGCGTATACAGCCGCTGACAGAGAAATCGTACTCACTACCTTCTCGCAGCGGAGCTGTTGTTTACGAAATTGAGAGGATGAAAAGCTAATGTTCGGCGCTTTAACCGTGTTGGTGGACATGGAGAGTCCACCTAGGGGATTTGGAAAACCCTGATTCCAAACCAAAGGGTATCCTGAAGGAACAAATGCCATATGAACTAACTGTTTGTCATCGGGTACCATGGGACTGCATCTCCTAACTTTGTTTCACTGCCTTATGGATTAAACCTAGGTCAAAGACTCCATTTACGCCCCCCCCCCCTAGGCAAACCACTTAATTCTGTTTGAGCATCCGGACAGTATCACAGCCCACATATAAATAAAATGAAATATTGTTTGGCGCATGTATATTCGGTGCCCATTTGTACCAATATTTATAAGTTCAAATAAATAAATGTAGTTATACTGTTAAGTGAATTCGAAATGTATACTAGTTTGTAATTCAGTTTTCCAGTTATATAGATAGATAGATAGTTAGTTAGATGGATAGTTTATTTGTTTACATGCTTTAATGAGTAAGTAGATAGATAAGTGAATAATAATAAGAAAAGCAACCAAATATCCAATTCACAGTAGAAAGATAATATTGGTAATACTCAATTAATGAAATAATGAAATAAAATGAATAACATATATAAATGAAATAAATAAGATCAGTAAGTAGTATAATGATTTTTTCGAGATATATCATCAATACATAGTCAAATATACTAATGGATAATAGATATTCAATTATAATAGTTCATATGGTTACAATATATCAATAAGAGTTCATCAAGTTATGTAATATAAATGCAAATTTTTTTCATTTTTTTTAAAAAATAATTTTAATCAACTATTACACGAATAGAATCTTCAAATAATGCTATAACCAGCATAATTCCAACACCAGTTATTAAACCAGTTGTTTGAATAATTAATTGACCAATACGTGTTTGACCTGGTCTCAATTCAACTGAATTCAGTTCAGGTAACTAGAATTATTGATAAAACAAACAACAAGATTATTGAATATAGTTGAATTCATTCATTCAATAGAAGTAAATCCATATATATATACAGGAAGAAAGAATTAGTTCGTAGAAAGAAAGATACGAAGCGATTTTAATCTCTTAGTTTAAGGGAAGACAGAGAGTGTATACACTACCTACGCCATTGTGATCGATTCTGAGCCATGTCACCAAGAGTCTCTAACCATTGGTTACGATAGTCACGTGGACCCCAACCGAGTAGTCTGCATCTACCAACATGGCTCAGACTAGAAGTTGGTGACTTTAAGCACTGATGCCACATTTTGGTTTGGCCGCCCCTAATTTTCTTCCAACCATCCCGAACACCGGTTAGCATTGCACGACGTGGTAATCGGCGTTCAGGCATGCGTAATACGTGGCCCAACCATCTCAGTCGATGAAGATTCACAACCGCATCAACTGATTTACCATCATTCCCTAATACCCTGCGTCTAACCTCACTATTACTTACCCGGTGATCCCAGCAGACGTCAGCAATATTTCTAAGACATCTGTGGTCAAATACTAGTATATATATACTTATTACGTGTCGATTAACCAAGGCTTATCTTTGTGGTATTGGTAGAATGTTAAAGAGAATTTGATATAATGAGGGTGACTTATCACTCGAAAATTAGATGATTGGTTTAAGCTGTCATACACATTTGATATGGATGTTTTATTCTAACTTTGTTGTTGTTATCATTGTGAAAGGATTTCTGTTAGCTAATGAATGATAAATAATAACAGGAATCCTTGAGATTACATTTAGATCTTGGTGTATTCTCAATCTTTAGCTGAATTATATTCTTCATGGAAATGAATTCTATTTCATGACAGCCGTTCCCATTGAGCTACTGATGATACATATAATCTATTTTGACATTGGTTTAAACTATATGGAAATGATCATTCCACTGTCATTACAGGTAAACTTTGGTGATGACTCAGTTAGCACAAAAACTAGGTCTAGGTCATTCAACTCATTCGCTGCAATCATTTAACGTTAAGCTAAATACATCAAGATGTTTATATTTAGTGACTGCATTATTATTTTACTGATATTTATTTATTTATTTTAACACATAGATATTGGTACAAGAGGGCACCAAATACATATGCGCAACACATATCTCATTTGATATGGGTGGGGGTTATGATACTGCCCGGGTGCCCAAACCAAAGCAGGTGGTTTTCTTAGGGGGCCACACCCAGAGCCTTCCACCTAAAGGTCTAACCCACAAGGCGGTGGAGCATCGTAAGGAGATGCAGTCCCATGGTAGCCGATGACCAACGACTGGTTAATACACCATTTGTTCCTTCAGGATACTGGAGCCCATGTGAACCATCGGTTTGGAATCAGTGTTTTCCAACTCCCCTAGGTGGACTCTCCATGTCCACCAACCCGGTTAAAGTGCCAGACATTCGCTTTCCGTCCTCTCAATTTGGTAAACAACACCCGTGGTACGAGAATGCAGTGGGTAGGACTTCCCTGTCAGAGGCTGTATACGCGTGACCATGTGAGAGCATTTCGAGAGGGATGGCGGACTGTCCTCACTCTCGGCTGTACCAGGGCATTTGGAGGCTCGATTAGCACTATCGAATGGTAATATGCAATTAATTACCTTGGTGTCATCAGTTGGTTTGTGCAGGAATTTCGAAAAAAAAACAGTTAAAGATGTTATACATTTATGACTCAAATAACACGACCTGAAGGAATGTATTTCTTAAATATGCGATGATATAAATCTTAACCATTCTTCACTGACTTATCAGTAGTATAGTAACATTTTTAGTGTGTTATTTATTGTTGCATTATCTGACTAAAAGGTACTTCGTAAGACTAATAGAAGCTTGCATCTACACATATGATTGGAAGTAGTTAAATTAGTTAGATAGTTTAATGTATGCGACTAGGCTTCATATAATAATCGATCTTCAACAACACATACCATTCTGATTGAGATCATGAAACGATTGATGTTAGATAACCTTTGGAAACCTGGAAGCACTGGACGGCCGTTTCGTCCTACTGTGGGACTCCTCAGCAGTGCGCATCCACGATCCCGCTCGCAGGATTCGAAGCCAGGGCCTTCAGTCTCGCGCGCGAACGCTTAACCTACTTGACCACTGAGCCGGCACCCAATGGTGATAGTGTCTAACATGCCATTCTGGCTTAATTTTGATATAATTATAGCATTTTTGTGGCCAATCAAAGGCCGAATTTCCAATCCTTATTCATATCTATCAGATATAGTCTACAGACATTTGTAAGCAGATATTAGATTAAAATTAAAAATAATAAAAATGACTGAGAACGGTTCAAAGTTTTGGGTACATAAAACTTATTGAACATCGAAAATGTTGCTGATAACCTCAGCTAGGATATATGGCTAAACACAAATGAAACAAAGACTATAATTTCTTTTTTACTCCCATCGTATCGGTTGAACTCTACTGGTCACGGCTTCTCACTAGAACTCGGAGAATTACCTCTCGAAGCTAGTCACTATTGTGCACATGATAATTATCAGTATAGGTTTGTGGAGACTGTTGAGTTTTTTAATTAATATCATGAATGGATCAGTGTTAGATCACCAATAAAAACCTGGAAGCACTGGACGACTGTTTCTTCACAGTATGGAACTCCTCACCAGTGCACACATGATTTTCACAGCCCTGTACTGATAATTGTCATCTGCTCACTAGTGACTAGCTTTGAGAGGTAATTCTCGGAGTTTAAGTGAAAAGCCATGACCAGAGAATTTCAACCGTGTCGAGTGTGAGGAAGTTTTCCATCGAATCAATGAAATGTGCCTAACAGTATGAAACTATAAACTGATTAAATTTCAGTCAAAATATCAATAACTCAATAATTTAAATTATTACATATTCAATTATGATTCTGTTATATCCCGAAGAGAATAATGAATGGTAACTGTCGGAATCTATTTCTGGACTAATACTACACGTATATTTTGATCGCATAATTGTGAAGTAACTAAACTATTCATATTCGTGTTCCTCTTATCATAAGCTTTATTTTGACCTATGGACTATTATTATACAATTTACCATTCTTGAGTTATCCCCAGTTTAATAATTACTATCTCCCACATTAACAGCTACTTTTGTTTAGATCTTGTACAAATGTTATTTTCCATTTTATGGTACGATGTGATTTGTTTGGACCGTATATAAACCCAGTATGTTTGAAATACATAATTCATATCGCAGAGGCTGAGATTGGTGTTCCGAACTTAACAGGCTGGGCTAGGCAGGAAGCAGGACTGATAAGGCCTTTAGACTGCTCGTACTTGTTTTATGTGTCTTTGGTCCGGTCGATAATTCACTGTTCTCTAATTGGCGGTATCATCACGTTATACAATGATAAGGGCACAAACTCACAAGCTATAACAAATTCTTTTCATTTTACTTACCATATCGACAAGTGCAATATAGATAAATGTTCCAGCAGTAATTGCAAATATCCAGTAACTTGCCGATTCTACATTACCAATACCTATACCAACTAGCATTCCAAATAAACAAAGAATTGATGAGATAATATTGAAAAACATTGCTTCTTTAATCCGCATACCAGTTTTTAAAAGTACAGCAAAATCACCTGTGAATAAAAAAAGAAGTAAGAATACAATTGCAGAAAAAAAACATTGGAATATAACAAAAATGTTTAAATTCTTTGTGTGGCAACATTCTATTATTATGATATGATCAATTTTACTCTATCATTACCAAGGATTATTATTTACTTTTCAGCAGTCAGTATATATTTATGATTGGAATGTATCACGTACCAAATAGTCATTAATCAGAACATTATAGTTGGTTAGCAAATTAAAATTTAGTGGTCATTCAACAAGTATGTAAGTAAACTTATCCAGAATACACCGTGGCGAGACTATAAGTTATGGACGAACTAACCAGGTATAAGATAACGGGTCTCGGATCTCGGAGCGAAATTCACTTATCCATTTGATTAAATAGAGTTTTGGCATTATAGCTGATGTCAGTTCGTGATGAAAACCCTAAATGTAATTCCTAATCTTCATCATCAACCGTAAATTATAATTTTAATTCCTCACACAGGTTCATAACCCTCATTTAGTCGTGGTTATTAAGTAGACACTCCCAATGCTGATGACAGTTCTATTTGATGAAGACGCTGACGAAATGCAGAGTCTTCTGACCACTCTAAGCAACAATGCAAGCATGTTCGAGATGCGATTCTCCACATTCGAAATGCAAAATGTTACTTCAGGATTGTGTCGCATCGACACCCGAGCTAATGATAGGGAGTGAAGTAACTGAGCGTGTCGATCGCTTCACTTATCTTGGAAGTCTCATCAGCCCTTGTGGTCTGGTGTGTGACGAAATCTCAGCACGGATACAGAAGGCTCGACTAGCTTTTGCCAACTTGCGTCATTTATGGCGTAGGCGAGATATCCGTGTATCAACCAAAGGACGTGTTTACTGCACAGCACTTCGTTCCGTCCTACTTTATGGCAGTGAAACCTGACCGGTAATAGTAGATGATATTCGTAGGTTACTAGTATTTGATCATAGGTGTCTTCGAAATATTGCTCGTATATCGTGGGACCATCGAGTAAGTAATGCAGTCGTTAGGAAACGAGTACTAGGTAAGGATGGCAAATCAATTGGTGAAGTAGTGAAACTTGATCAGTTGAGATGGCTGGGACATGTGTTACGTATGCTCAACGACCGACTGCCTCGACGTGCTATGTTCAGTGGTATAGGAGTAGGTTGGAAGAAAGCTAGAGGTGGCCAGACCAAAACATGGCACAATTTCATGAAGTCACTGACAAGTGGACTGAGTGATGTTGGTAGGTGTAGACTACCTGGTTGGGGACCGCGAGATGATAGCGACCGATGGTTAGAGACCCTGAATGACATGTCTCAAAATGGTTTGCAATGGCGCTGGTGCATACACTCTTTGTGTCCTCGTAAATTCTAATCTTCTGAATTCTTCATGTCCCTTTTTTCCTCTTTCCAAATTTATTTCACTGGATTATACTCTTTAAATAACATGTCCAAACCCTAATCTTCCCGATTACTGCTTATACTCTTATTACCTCTACCACTACGGGATTTGAATCGACAAGTGCATCTATGTGCTAATGTGGTGTGGCAATTCGAACTGATGTACGTACGTACTATGTTCTACGTTGTTACTGACTGGCTGGACACTCCCAAGGTCAGTCTGGCGTCGCTCAAAGGTCGTTCATAAATTATAGTCTCACCTACACCTTGAGTTAAACGTTATCTTATCATATTCGCCAATTAATTAAAGTTAGGATAGGTTGTGGAGGTTGTTGAATTTCACTGAAACCAAGGATTAATTTAGTTAGACTGTAATTGAAAACCTGTGAGCACTGAAAGGTCGTTTCGTCTTCGTACGGCACCCCTCAGCAGTGGGCATCCACAATCGCCACACAAGAAATCAAATCCAGGACCTTCTTTCTCAGGTGTAAACACTTATCCTTTAGACCACTGAGTCGGCATCCAGCGGTATCAATATCTAATCCTAATCAATCCATGATATTGTCGTTCAGTACTTCCGAATTTTCAATAGTGATCTAACTTTGATTGGTTCATGATTTCAATAAATTTAGGACGGTTCATCTTATTTGGTAATTCACACAAACTGAAAAATGATATAGTTTATCAAGATGGTACTCTCTAAGTAAGATATCATCTATTTATTCTCCTCTAAATGAAAGTAATCTTCAAGACAATGCACAAAAATGAAATTGGTGGGTTTTTTATGGATTACGTGACATGGTATTCTAGCAACCATGAATCAGATTATCTCTAATGAAATACTTTTTCAGTGTTAGAGTGATACAGAGTTTACAAAATAGTTTGATTTACCCAGTACAAATGCGTGAAATTAATAACAAACATTCTGGTGGGCAATATTTTAACTGCATGCTTATAATTACTCTTTTCCATTTCATTTCATTGTCAGTTGTTAGTATGAGCAGTTTGTAAAGATTGTTCGATTCTAAATTAGTTGATGTTATAGGATGACATTGGTCAAACATCAAGTGGCAATTACAGGACATTGAACAATTGTGATGGTGGAGAAGAAGAAAAACCGAACAAAATTTACAAAATAAAATGTTCCAAATCCGAAAAACAGTACATCGCACAAAGTGGACGCCCCCTTCATCTTCGCCTACACGAAAATCAATTAGCAGTCAAGAGCCCTGAAATATCTTCGCTTATTTCAATGCATTTGGACAATTGTGGACACATATTCGACTGGAAAAATGTCGAGATCTTGGATAGAGGGAATACATAATGCACCAGAGAATTTTTAGAAGCTTGACACTCAGGTTAATCAGCACTCAACAGACACATTGAAATCTTCGACCTCTCCGAGGGGGTCAAACCTTAACCTGACCTTCAGGCCCCAATTATTAGAATGAACATTATCGAGGTTATTCAGAATACGTGCACCAATTATCCCAAAGCATAGAATTTGCAACTTCAAATCGCTTAACTTATGTAATCGCATTGTGTAATTTGAGGATTGAATGATTATATTACTACTTGTACCAAACGTACAGGTATTTACTGGTATATCTTAAGTAATATTATACAATCAGCCGAAAATGTAAGATGATTATGAAGACTGTGAAAATTTTGGGAGTTTATTAGAAATTTTATTGACACGTATACAAGCGGTAAAAAACGTAATCTTAACTTGGAAGAGACATTTTTATGGTCGGTTCACATGATAGTTATTACAAATTGGGTCTAACTGAACTCATATTAATGGAGCGGACAATGAAACGGTCTGAAGATCCTAAATTAAGTATAATTTAACAGAAATGGCAATCACGAAGCCTACGTCATAAGAGATGTTCTTGACGAATTAGGATTAAATATATCACCCTTTAGTATCAATCAACAGAATGACTATAATACAAACATTCATAGCTATTTAAGACTGAACTCATGCCCCTGGTTAGGGCATAACAACTGTTTAGTCATTCTATCGCCCTTTTATTCATTTTGCGGGTGTAGGCTGAAATGCGGCTTTTGTTTTCGAACTGACAGCTCAATTAAGTTAAATTTAGGAAGCCTGGACAACAGTTCATACGGTTCTATCTTAGTGTAGCGGATGCGGCTAACAAGATTGTTTGTAAGCAGTGTTTAGCGGAACGTGGAATCGAAATTGTAGCAGTTGTCAGATGGAGTGAAGAGCTTCAGTACATTGAAAGTACGACGTTGGCATGACACGTGAAGTCCAGATGAGGAGACGGTTCAGACTACCGGACACACCAAAATACGTAAATGGAAGAGTTAAGGCTATGAATGTTTTGTAACTTCTCAAGAATACACACTTTTCCTGACTATTGTTGTACTGTTTGTTGCTAACTCTCTATAGTCGCCAAAATCAACAGGTTTAACCGTAACAGAAGTTAAATCCATCCATGAAACTTAAGGATGAAGCATATATCATTCATTGTCGAAGTATTGTGTGATCTTTAAAGACATTTAATGTACATTTTACATTACCTAGCTCGTGCGGTAGTTCATGGCAGAATACTGCAACACTTGTGCTAAGACCACCTGAAATGCTTTGAGCGAATGCAGCACCTGCAAAAAAGAAGCAAAGAAACTCTCAGATAATTGTCTAAATAATTTTGTCCTAAAATAACTAGGTGATAAATCGTTTGAAACAGTTGTTTAATGCTTGTTTCTTAAGACAATATAATTAGGAATCCTTGATAATTGTTTTATACTGGCCAATTCAAAGTACAAGGAAAATTCACTATGAATATAGTGAATGTCATAAAGAAATCGATTTGAGTGTTTCAAATTCAGAAGAATGTGTATTCGACGCTGTTTTAAGTTTGAATTTATTCGGATTGGTTAGGTAGTTAGTTAGGATAGAAGATCAAACGGGTCATTTAAAGTAATAATGCGCGTTAGTAATTTTCATTACTAACTGACATCACCTAGAGAAACCTTGTAAATCATGAAGGATTCTAAGGTTTGTAGACTTCATAATAATGACTAAATAGATTTCCAAAACAAGCACATAAATCAGATAACATCAGTCATTAGCATCGAAACCAGTTTACAGAGAAATCAACTGATTTATAAGATAAACATAAATTATACTGGTGTTAGGCAAACCAATTTCTCGATTAATATATTTGACACAAGACAGCCAATTAAAAGACATTTTAACACTTAAATATGTGATTAGCTGTGAGTTTAAAACCATCGAGGTACCAATAAGATCTAATTAGAAATGGATAGCTATTTTGTCTTAGTAGTGCTGATCGGTGATTCTGTCAGGAACCGAAAAAAAGGGTGTTTCGGTTCCGCGATGAATCCTTGATCATGAGACCAGATTTAAAATCCGATGGTTTATATTTTTAACTTTAATCAGTTCATGGCATAACACAAAGACCACTCAGTTCAATCGGTGACAAATGATGAATAATCAATATGCATGTAATCAGTTAATCACTTGATGGCACTTGAAAATTGACCGATAACACACTATGGTAAATACCATTAAGAGTTTAAACATGTTTTCATAAAACATTGATTAATTTGAAACACGAGTGTTAATTTTTTACATCTTGAACAGTGTAATACGAAACTGAGACTTATCAAAACTCAGGTCAAGAAGCGATATATATAGCGTGCTTAATGCAAATACAAAGCTTTTACTACACAACAAATCTATGTATGCTCTAATATCCACGTCTAAACACCTATGAAAATGGCTAATTTTAGAGAAATCTCATGTAGTATATCTTAGGTGAAGGACGAAGATGATGCGTTCCTGCTTACATGCGTTATCTGAGTTTACTTTCTTTTTCACAATTAATTTTGTATCTTTTGTATCACTGTTCGTCTATGTAATTATCTCTCCTTATTGCACATTTACATGGAAACGAAAAATTCAATAGGTATGTCATGTTATCGTTTACATGTTATTTGAGGTTTTTGAAACATCACAGATGGTGGTCTGATAATTATTGATTATATTAACTGTATACCAGTCCTACTTGTTATATCCCTAGTGAAGATTAAAGTACGAGTAAGTTTTGGGACCTATTAATGGACTAATGTTATCTATATATTCTTATGGTATAAATATTCAGTAACTAAACCGTGTATATCTATATTTCTCTTATAGATTGTTATTGTACGATTTACTGTTATGTTATACTCAGTTTATTAATTAGTGTCTCCCACGTTCACAGCCACCTTTGGCTATATTTTGCACGAATGTTATTTTCCATTTTAGTGGTACGTTGTTGTCTGTTTATTTGATATATGAACCCAGTACGTCTGAAATAAATGATTCGCATAGTGGAGGCTGTTGTTGGCATTCTAGACTCAGCTGGACGGGCTAGGCAAGAAACGGACAAATAGGACGCTAGGTTGATCAGACTGAACGAATGTCATTGGTTTAGTACAGTTAAAGGGTGAATAAGTCGTATTTTGATTGGCGAATAAATTGCGTAATAACTAATCGGACGCATAAAGGCATAACACTACTAACCGCTGATTTAAGATTCTGTTTCAGTGTATGATTATTTCACTGATTGAAATCATGTGCCAATTGAAGGTAGACCACCATGGAAAACCTGGAAGCACTGGACGGCCGTTTCCTCCTAGTATGGGACTACTCGGCAGTATGCATCCACGACCCCGCCCCCTGCGAGGTTCGAACCCAGGACCTATCAGTCTCGCGCCAGTCGCCTAATCAACTAGACCGCTGAGCTGGCCGGCATCCAACGGTGTTAATGTCTAACTTCAACCAATCCATGAAATTGCACCACTGTACACCATTATCTTCAGTGAGCTGATATCTCACAACAGACCTGGTTGAACTCCACTGGTAACGGCTTCTCACTAGAACTCCAGGAGTATCTCTTGAAATCAGTCACTAGTTAGCAGATGATTATTATCAGAAGGGGTTTTGTGAATCGGTTGAAGTTAGACATTAACACCGTTGGATGCTCAGCTCAGCGGTCTAGTTGATTAGGCGACTGGAGCGAGACTGAGAGGTCCTGGGTTCAAACCTCGCGGGGTGTGGGGTCGTGGATGCACACTGCTGAGGAGTCCCATACTAGGAGGAAACGGCCGTCCAGTGCTTCCAGGTTTTCCATGGTGGTCTACCTTCAATTGGCACATGACTTCAATCAGTGAAATTTCTGAAATCTCCACAAAACCCCTTCTGGTATGATTATTTAACTCAGTTATAGATGGCAGGGTAATGTAAGCATCATTCTTTAGCGCTAAAAGTAGATTATGTATAGGTAATTAAATGTTTTTCGAAAGTTTAAATTCTATATCAATTTTTTATTGAACAGACTTACTTATTCTTATTAAGTAGCGTTTAGAAAAACGTACTTGATCTTATCAAAAAGAATATTCACTAAGAATTGTTTCCTTCTAAGCAGTGAAAAAATTTACGTAAGAGTGTTAATTTACTGTCTATTTAACTTTTCCATAGATTAAGCATTAGATTGATCTATCTTTCAAGCATTAAGTTTATAGCCAGATTCTAATAAACTCTGTTTTATCACTATACTATTTAACTAACTATTTTAAAGTGACTAGTCCTATTTTGTAGTTTAGAATTTCTAATCATACTACTATTAAAAGCAATGACGGGTAGTGGCTAGCAGTGGAATCCAAGATGCGCGTTTTGTCCTATTTGGGACTCGTCGGCTGGATGTCCTTGTACTGCAGAGTTGATGTTCACTCTGGGACTCGAACCCAGTACCATCCGCTTCAAACGCCATCGCGTTGTCCACTCAGCTACTGAGTCCTGATAGCCACTTGCTTGTGTAATGGGGTGAATTTAAATTCACTTGGTATTGTTTGGCTTGTATCTTCCAATTGAGGTTTAAGACTATCCATCATTGCTTACAAAGCTTGTGAATCAAGGCAATATCGAGGCATACGCACAGTATGCAAATATGCCAATAACAGACTGATCAATTGCAGTCTTAAACCTCAACGGGAAGATACAAGCCAAACAATACCAAGTGAATACTACTATTGAGTTATCGAAATAGTTCTTATGCAATTTTTAAGCGGTTTGTATACAATCTCACATGATATTACTGATAGTATGAATACCTATCTATGAATAAAATGTGGCTTTCATGTGTGATGGTGTGCAAAAATGTATCAGATCCTACAGTGTTAATAGCCAACTAACTGCTAAAGATTATCAAGTTGAGTTATCCTTTGTGTATCTCTATATTTGCTACGTCATATGTTATCCACATATATTGCTCGATATATCCTTTTTGACGAGACTATAATTTATGGACGGACTAATCAAGTATAAGATAACAGGTCATGAATTTTGGCACGAAATTCGCTCATTCATTCGGATTAATGGAGTTTTGGCATTATAGCTGATATCAGTTCGTGATGAAAACCCTAAATCTAATATCTAACCTTAATCATCAATTGTAAGTCATAATTTTTATTTCTCACACAGGTTTACACCCCTGATTTGGTCCTGGTCATCACGTGGACACTCTCAAGGTCAGTCTGGAGTCGCTCATAGGTCGTCCATAAATTATGATCTCATCACTTTTTTATAGGCAAAAAATGAATAAACCCCACAGTTGTGGGGAAAACTACAGACTTTATCAAAATGTATCAGCTTATAAAACTGACCGATAGCCATCCCATCTGTAAAATTATGTAGACCATCACCCATGATTACCATCCAAGCAACTGCGGCTACAGATTCTGGAACCTACAAAGAAATAGGAATATACCAACCATTAATAAAAAAAGGCTATTCAGTTTTTTATTTGTTATAACATTTTCAGTAATGGATGATCATGATAAGCATTTATAATTTGTAATATTATTCTCTTGCGTTATTCCAAGTTATTTATTCATCGAGTGTTAAATAAAAGAGATTGGGTTGTATAGGTTTTTGAAGTCACTCATCAGGATTAGTTACTTACTTACTTACTTACGCCTGTTACTCCTCATGAAGGAGCATAGGCCGCTCATCAGCATTCTCCATCCAACCCTGTCCTGGGCAATCCTTTCCAGCTCTTTCCAGTTCCTATTCATCCTTTTCATATCTGCTTCTACTATCCAACGTAATGTGTTCTTAGGCCCTCTTCTTTTCTATTTCCCTTCAGGATTCCAAGTTAGGGCTTGTCTCGTGAGGCAGTTTGACGGTTTGGGTAATGTATGTCCTATCCATTTCCATCGTCTTTTCCTAATTTCTTCTTCAGCTGGAAGCTGATTTGTTCTTTCCCACAAAAGGCTGTTGCTGATGGTATCCGGCCAATGGATGTTGAGTATCTTGCGAAGACAACTATTTATAAATACTTGTACCTTCTTGATGATGGTTGTTGTAGTTCTGGAAGTTTCAGCTCCATACAGTAGAACTGCCTTGACGTTGATGTTGAAGATTCTCACTTTGATATTGGTTGATATTTGTTTTGAGTTCCATATGTTCTTCAATTGTAGGATTAGTGGCTAACCTTTTTATCATATAGTGAATATATTCTTAAACAAAAGTTGTAAATCTTCTATGTTACTGTTGAGCGTTGTTTTATCAAATGTAAATCATATAACGGAGTAACAATTTTCTTTTGGTCAAATGAACTGAAGGCAAAGTAAAACTTGTTCATGTGAAGTAAATATGTTACAGTGCAAATAAAGATCAGGTAAAACTTGTTAAGATGCTTCTTTTTTATTTTGTGCGAAAAATTTACTAATTTTTCAAATATCTACCATTGGAATAAGAGATTATTATTACTATTGTGGTGCATGCTACTTATATCGGTAGATATAAGTAGTCTGTATTATCAATCAGAAGTGAAATGAATGGAGGTAGAAAATTAAGAAAATCGAAAAAAAAAGAGAATGAAAACAGACAATGATTGGTGTGGAATCGAAAAAATAAAAACAATGAAGTCTGAGACGACTGATGAATATTTTGCAAAAGATTTTTAATAAGAAATTCTGTCATTTTTTTGTTCGAATACATTCAATTGTCCCAACTTGTTTTCTCGTTTACTACACTAACGACTAATATTCATAACGATTAGTAATTAGGTGAAGTCTAGCTTATATATTATAACATTTCCAACTATTACTGAGAATCTTAAAGAAATCAGACACCAGTTTTACTATTCAGATACATTAATCGATAGATATTGAATATAGTATAACTAAGTAGAGAGAAGGAAATGACGCGCGGTGGAGAAGGTGTATGAGTCAACTCATTTTAACCAAGTGTGAATTGATACTTATAGTCAGACGAAAATAAGTTACAGGCAAGTGATGAGTAGGAAAATCAATGTACGCATATACGCTCATATAAAAACAGTCAAGGTTGATAGGTGAAGAATTGACAAGGTCATAGTGTGATTTAAGAAGAATCGATAAATTGGCTTGTCCAGAAGCCAGATTAAACTATGTGAGCTTAACATAGCAGCCAACACCACAAAATTCACATCTTTTAGATAGAAGACTAGTTTCTTAAAGAGTTAAGTGCAAGATGATAGAAGTCAAGGAGTTAGAAGCATATCTTTATCATTGAGAGCAAACGTTTATGTATAGAGTTTAATTTCAGTAGTTGAGATCATGAGTCAGTTGATGCTAGACTACCATGGAAAACCTGGAAGCACTGAATGGCCGTTGCGTCCTTTAGTGGGATTCCTCAACAGTGCCATCCACTGCACCACCTCGCGGGGTTCGAAACCCAGGACCTATTAGTCTCGCGTACCAGTGCTTAACCACTAACCACTGGGCCGGTATTCAACGGTGTTAATGTCTAAGTTTAACAAATTGAAATATTCAATCTATTATTACGTTTTAATGTTTTTGAATAAACCAATAAATGGCTCTAATACTAACAATTTATTTACTAATTCTACTGACCCAATAATTAGTTAATTACTACTTTAGAAACATCATTAACTGATTTACACTAATCAGCCTATATGAATTGATAGAGTATTATTGTTCCTCTTGTAGTTAACATGGATATGAAAGATTCAGAAACTTGACAAAGTTTAAAAAACAGAAGCTGAATTTTGTTGTAAAGCATTGAACTAGGAAATGAAAATTATCACTTTAAAAGCATTCTATTTAATTCATGAACACTTTAATTACAGATGTTGAGCATAAAGCAATACTTTTTCATGAGGACTGTCAAAGGTACAACTTGAAACCAGTCGTTATTGTGTAGTTGAATATGGGAAAGTTATAGAGTGACTGATTATATTGAAAATTTTCAGAATTAGGATAACTTATCTTGAGAACTCAATATCTTATCTCACATTTTAATCCTCATTGATGGCTATTTGGTTCTAAAAGTTTCTGATAAATTAGTTGGCTAGAGATTGTCAGCAATAAACCCAACGCATAGGTTTCGTGCTGATTCGCACTCGTTAACAAGTCACCTGGATTCTAGTGGGAACTAACGCTCCCTAGTGGATTCGGATCCACATAAAATAGCTTCACTGTTTGAACTTTGTAACCGAATTGTAAGAGACAAGATAAATCTGTCATACGACTGAGATATTTACACCGTCTACCTCTACTCACCTAACATCGAAACATTGGACACTCAGGGTCAAATTATTTAGACTGATGGACAAGTGAATATCTAACTGCAAGCCGTATTCTGACCATCAACTTTGACAAGTATAAATATTGGTACAACTAATATTCTTGTTTTTGGTGGGATATACAGATTATAACTAAAATATATACGTGAATATTAGGTTAAGGTGAACTAAAAAAAACATATTTCTTACTTCGTGCGAATGACCATGACTATGACCATGCCCATGATCAGATGTGTTTACGTCTTCCTGGTGATGAGCTGGTAAGTCGATACGTAACTGAAAATGATGAGAATTATAAAAACAATTAACAGTTTGTCTATATTAGAATAAATAACTTTTGAAACGAGAGAGAGATTTGAACCCTCACCAAATAGTGACGGAGCAAAAAGCGTTAAAAATAAAGTATAAGTGACGTACTTTACCCTATGTAAAACTGAAGCTTTTATATCGATTAGTTATTATATTCTAATCTATTTATTGTTTATCTACTTTTGAACGATAATGGAATTCTCTCATTCCACTCAATTCTTCATCACAGTACGATCTACAATTAAAACTGCTTTCGTTGTGATTATGCTTGTCACAAACTGATCGATTAAAGAATTCCAGTGATATAGTTCAGTTGAAGAGGTTCATTGGGTAATAGTTCAGTATCTTTAAGGGTAATGAAGTTGATGATTGTAATAGTTAAGCATCAACTCAGTGAACTGAATGTCTTAAGCTTGGTCCCTAATAGGATCTTGGTTATACACTACTGAGAAGGACTAAATAGCTGTATAATACTTCTCGGTTTTTGATGGTACCTCAACTGAAATTAATTAATAAAGAATAGTACCTTAGAATTTCAGTCACAGTTAATTGGTATATAATTTTCCTATAAACATATTTCGTTACTTAAAATTAGTTCTCATAATGGTATAAAACTAGAATGACAATAAGACAAGGTTCACCTGTTTTTCTGATTCTTTTGGCTTGGTCTCATTTTCATTTGCTATTGTAATTTTTGGTAAATTTATTGCAAGACTTTCTTGATATTGTTGTTGTTGTATATCTTTCTTTGAGCTGTCCCCTTCATTAATTTGCTTTGATTTCCCGTCAGGAAGATCCAATTGTAATTCATGTTTTACCAATGGTTGGTCTACACTAATATCCTGTGAAGATCTTCTTGTAAGTTCATCGTATTCCTCTGCATAGCTGTAAAGAATGTCGATTGATTTCATTGCTGAAAAAAATTTAGCCACATCAATGTTACAGTTTCGCTACAGAATACATTATCTAAGTGAATCTAATAAAGATGGTGCAGACCATAATTTACCTTTCGAAGTAACATTTTAGTGATTAAAATAGGACAATAAGTCAAAGTACCCACAGTCTATTTGTGTTGTATACTTTCGAAGTTGGTAAACACATCCAAAGGTTACTGTTACAGTTCATGTTTCACAGCCTACAATAAGTACAGTTTCACAATTATACAGTGCTTATGAAATCGAAAAACAAAACAGTATTAATATTGGAAGTACTGTCCATTTGTGGTTGTAATCATTATATAAAGCTTGTCTGATGAAAATCATGTTTTTGCTTTTCACTGTCGACTTCGTGACTGACTGACTGACTGACTTATATACTGTTTGAGCTAAAGAATTTCGATCATCCGTCGATTATATTATTTCGAAACCAGTATCTTCTGTTTACTTTTAACAACTTATGGTGAGTCTTCATAAGTTAAGTTAGTATTTATTAACATGTAAAGTCATGTTAAGTTGAAATACAATTCACAAAGATCTGTTTCAATCACTACCATAGATATAATAAAATAAGCGGTTTAATCAGTTTGTATGAAAGCGTAATCTTACCTTTGCTACTTAATCCCGTAACAAATACATCTTCGTTTGCGATAGACATAGCACGTGATGCTCTTCTACACGATGTAGGATCAAGTTGTGATAGTCTTCTAGTTTGTCCAGGTACTGCTAAAAGTCCACTTGGAGCTATAGATGGTCTTACAGAACTTAGACGACGAGTTACTGGAGCTACAGGCAAATTAAGTAACGCTCTTTCACGATCTTCCTATCAATCCCAAGAAAAATAAATTTGAAATTTCACAATTTTAAACTGTACTGTAATTTTGTTAAAAACTCTTTCATGTGTTTAAAACTGTAAAAAGTATTTATGCAATGTAAGTTGAATATTTCATTTTAAGTCGTTAGCATGGAAGCTAGATATTCTGGGAACTTAAGATCAATTAATTAAGACATTATCGATAAACTTGTGACAAAATGATAGGATTTATGGAACTTTAGGAATAAACATTATTCACTATCAACAAGTTAATCACCCTAGATTCTTGTAACCTCTCAACAATATTTCAGTTATCCGGTTTAATTTTAAGGTTTTATCTCCAAATACTTCATGTAGAAATGAACTGTTTAATTATTCCACAGGCATTAAATCAAGCAGTTCTGACGATCTTGTATATGACTGACTATTTCCTTAGGTTTGGTCAGTCTCATTTGTCATTTACTCATTGTAAACTGTTCAGTTCAATTGACCTCTTATGTACTAGTCAATATAGTTTATGTTGTGATACAATCACTGATTGACTGACCTGAGCTCCATAATTCCAGAAATATCCTATGATACTTCAAGTTTCCTCTGCAGAGAATTTCGATATTTTGAAAATTATGTTCTCTTCCCTGGTTATCTGTATCAATCGATTTATGTACTGACATATCATAATGTTTTACTGCTATTCTATATCTGTATATAAGGTGATGAAGAGGAGAGTTCTACTTTGACCACTTTATAGCTTATTATATTTGATAGAAAATTAATGTTCTATTGTTGTTAGCACTTACCCACAAACTGGTATTCTTGCTGAGTGTTTTGAAAACCTTTACAAGGACAAAGGTTTTTTTGTCTAAAACTGCAAATAATAAGTGTGACGCCTCAAAAAGCCAGTGTTTTCGTAATGTCTATCATATTACTTGTTTAGAAAAACCTGATACGTTTAAAAAATCTACACTTATAATATATAAATGGAAATTTGATAGAAAACTCACTTTTTCAAGCTTTTTTTCAGCTCGATATTCAGAAGTTAAACTTAATATTTTCTCTGCCATGAAAAAGAAATATACACCACCCAAAGCTACAAAACCTTTCATAATTGCTATACGTTCACCATTTTCTTCTTTAGATGATGTCAGTTCACCTCCATGATCATGACCTTGACCACTGCTTATAGCCTAAATAAGAAAAAGTCAATAAATTATTTCGTCAAATCGAGACTAAATGTTTTAACTACCTGATGGATTTGACTTTGTAATTTGTTAATCAAAGGAGTTACTGATTTCATATTGAATAAGTTGTACATTTAACATATGATTGATCCCAACTCTAACTTGTCACAACATAGTTCGTTTATTTCAGAAAAACATCCAGGAAATTGATACAACACATGAAAAGACTTGAAAACACTAACCGCTAGACATAGATATAAAAACAAAGGTCGAATATATTTATTCCTATAATATTCCTTCACATTAGATTGGTAGCTGATTTTCAATACCTTTGGCTAAGTAGCTTTATGAATAAGATTTACAAGTGTTTTAAGTGTATAATTACGAAAGTAACCTATATAATTAAGTAACTGGTTTATAACCTTGCTTTCATTCCTAACTTTATGTAAAATGCTGAACCCCGATGTAAATAATACAGTCTATTTTGATGTATTTCAATTCTTTCCAAGTAAGGTGTTTAAATAATTCTAATGATAGTAATATTGATAGTAATAGCGCTAAATAATTCGCTTTTCATCTTTTATTTTGAGATGGTGGAGACAATTTGTAGCTCAGGTGGATGATTTCGATAGAGTTTGGTTCTCTGAGCTGGATGGTTTGGTCATGGAGCTTTAAGCAAAAACGTCTACCTGAAGTTTGTACTGATGATGTCGTTCAGAGGAACGATGAAGGATCCACGATCAAACCATCCACCTTAGAGAACAGAACTACGGAAATCTTCCCTTCTTCAGATCCTGAGTTTTGAAATAATCTCAAATCATCCACATTTTCTCTTTAATATTACTATTACTTATACTGTTATTAGTTCTACTTCCCTGGCATTTCGTTGTGTCGATGTGATGTGGTAAATTAAACCGATGTAAAAGGATTCCAGGTTCAAGTTTGCGTATGGCTGAATGATTGAATATTATATAAATGTTTTTTCGACTGACGCAAATCTAACAGTTGAAGCTCGATTATTGACAATTAACTTGGAAACTCTTGAAGAAAATAGTCGATGTCTAAACTATTTCAAAGACAATGAATAAAGTATAGCAAACCTGAATATTATTCCTTATTCTTATTGTCTTATATACCTTATTATAGTCCACAGTCAGAAATAGTTGAAATAGTGATACTCGATCAGAAAATACTTCAACAGGGGTTTTAATTTGCCACAATATAGCTGAATGTTAGTACAATTTACATATGCACGAAAACATGCTAATTTTAATTAGGCTCATAAATAAGACGCAATATTGTTTTAATGTAATTCTCTGTTAAATAAAGTTTTTTTCGAACTAAAATCCCTAGCAAAAATGACAATTAGCAATTCACTGAAATTTTTTTCAACAAACTTAACTGAAATTACGTTTCAAACTGAACCTTGTAAAGAAATATGCTATGTAGTAAATGTCATGCTTAACCTTTATCCATTACTGAGATTTGAAAGTAACACTTCCGATGAAATTGAGTCTTCATCTAAACTTTCAATAGTTGAGGTTATGAGCCAATTGAAGCTAGACCACAATGGAAAACCTAGAAGCACTGAATGGGCGTTTGGCCCTGTTGTAGAACACCTCAGTAGTGCGCATCCACAATCTTGTTTTGCCAGATTCGAACACAGGACCTGTCGGTCTCGAGCGCAAACGCTTAACCTCCAGACCATTGAGTTGGTATCCAATAGTGCTAATGTCGAACTTCAACTAATTCACGAAATTGAAGAGTTCCACAATAGGACGAAACGGCCGTCTAAGGCTTCCAGGTTTTTCATGGTGGTCTAGCTTCCATTGGCTCATGATCTCAACCATTGAAATTACTATAATATCCACAAAACCCTTTCTGATATTAATCTAAACAGCTGATAGGTTTGAAGATAAAGAGTACATTTGAATACTATGATATTATTGTTTTCAATGAAATTGTAAGAAAACTAATTGGTGATCGTTTACAATTGTTATTCAGTATAATTTTATTTGGATTATGCTTTGATGTAGACTTACATGTGGAAGTAAATGTAGCATTGCATCACCGGTTAAAGTTCCAACAGCTAATGCAACCAAATATTGAATAACTTGATTGAAAAATACTTTTTGAACTAATGGTACTACACCAACTCCTAATAGTCCAACTGCACTTATGACAAAAATTGAAATTAATGAAGCAATCCAAACTAGAAATATTTAAAAAAGAAGGTCGAGTCTTATCATACTGATTTAACAAATAATAAACAATATTTAATGATAAGGTATTAGGTCTTTCAAGTCTTAGTATCCATGAGAAGTTGGTAGTTGGATCAATGTTCATATTATTTAGGCTCAAGTCATTTGATGTTAATTTGCAGTTGAATGAATAAATAATCATGGATATTTAGTGAATAACTCTGATTTTTTTTTATACGATTACAAATCTGCTAAGTAAGGTTTACAAAGACTATTTGTTTTAAAAATGTGTTAGTTTAAACAGCTGATTGGAAAAAGGTGGATAGTGGCTAACAGTGACATCCAGAACATGCGTTTCTTCCTGTTTGGGACTCGTCATATGGATGTATCTGCATTTTTGAGTTGATGTTCACTCTGGGACTCGAACCCAGTACCGTTAATGTCAAATCTCATTGCGTTATTCACTCAGCCACTATCCATATTTACTTATAAAGCTTGTGACTTATGGCACAGGATGCACATATGTCCAAAATAACAATGGGAATATACAAGTAAACAACACCAAGTAAGCTGATTTGAAATACTAGAAATTAGGATCAGTTTGATCAGTTTCTCACCACTATAGTGCATTTTCTACATATTTATAGAACTTATTAGTTATACTGTTGAGTATGCCAGTTTGCTTCACGACGCTTAAAAAGATGTCTGCATGAATCAAATATTTCGAACCTTAAAAGACTATGCATTGAACTATTGATTCATAATAGATATATGGTATTTGAACAATGTTATTCTTAAGAGCTATTATGTGTTCATTCTTATTCAATTTTGAATTGAACCAATCAGTATATTTTGATAAAGATATTTATGACTACTGTACATAACCTTTAGTGATATCGATCAAGTTAAAGGAACACTTTATAAATTATCATACAGTGATTATCAGAATGGGTAGTTTGTGGAGATTGTTGAAGTTAGACATTGACACCGTTTGATACGGGTCAGCTCAGTGCTCTAGAGGTTAAGCGTTCACGTAAGAGACCGAAGGTCCTGGGTTCAAGTTCCGTGTATGGGATCGTGTATGGGCGCTGATGAGGACGAAATGGCCGTCCAGTGCTTCCAGGTTTCCCATGGTGGTTTAGTTTTAATGGATTCATGAATACAGTAATTATACAAAATCAATTAGCTAACCTTTTGGTCGAATATTCCAAAAACTATAAGCGTTCAGTATCTGAAAATAATACAGAAAAATAACTTATTAGAAACTCTTTTCACTACTTGGATGCAAATTCATTTCTTGCAAACTTCTGTATAAACAAGTTAATAAAACCTGATATCTATATATGTAGACTTCCAGTTTGACTCCAAGGATAACTTGTTGATACATACTGATTGTATTTTAAAAAAGATTATTATTATATAAAGAAACTATGAGGTTCTTTGAGACTGAGACCTACAAGCCAATAATTACAACACTATGGTTATCATATTTAAATATTCAATATTTAGAAGCAGTGAATAGTTCTTAGTATTTAAACATTGTCTGTATACTTTTCATGTAGACATTCATCCTTTACTTAGTATTAGTTATATGATCGAGAAAGGATTTAATAAAAAATGATATCGGTTTATTCGAAATAGTCTATCTATCGACATTCTGCAGAACAACGTAAAAGCACCTGGTCAATGTGTATAGTATGAGCGAATGGTGAGGCAATTAATTAAGACATCTTTTGTATTATATTGGAGTATAAATAGTTATGTATGATATCCTCTTGTGTTACAACTCATTGAAGCGCTAGTTTACTTTGCGATTTGATTGAAAATTGGAGGTTTATTTTTCATTTAATATAAGGGCTTACTAGATATAAGTTACTTCTGTCAGTTAAGTCAGCTTTTAATTATAAGACTGACAGGTCCTGGGTTCGAATGTCGCGAGCGAGATCGTGGATGCACACCGCTGAGGAGTGCCATACTACAATGAAACGGCCCTCCAGTGCTTCGAGGTTTTCCATGGTAGTCTAGCTTCAATTGACCCACAAATTCGATTATTAAATTATAACATAAATGTGAATAACTGCATGAAAAACAAATCATTCTGCACACACACACACATACACACGCACACGTAAATTAATGTACACCAATATACATAGATGGTAATATGACAGTATGAGTTATATGTAGAAATTGGCAATTCATCGTCATGTCTACAAATAAGTGTTCAGAATATTCTGATAATTTGTGTTGGATCGGTGAATTGATTAATTCACAAGGTATCTTGATTTGTTTATGCTAAAAGTGGAGTCGATATTAAGGGTGTTAGATGTGTTCTTTTAATTTAGAAAATCTTATTAATTAAATTTATTCAAAATGGTTGATATGAGAAATTTTAAATTCACAGGGAATTATATCCAAAACAAAAAAAGTTAAATATCATAGTGACGAAAAAATTCTAAATGGTTACTATGTTTGTGAATGTTTTGCTTATCTAATCATTAACCAGGTGTAATTGCCTGCACTCACCCAACTGCGTCACAAGACAAGCCTCCACATGGAATCCTCAAGGCCAAAGGAAAAGAGAAAGACCAAAGAACACATTACGCCGGTAAATGGAAATAAATATGAAAAAAATGAACAAGAATTGGACGGAACTAGAAAAGAAGGCCCAAGACAGAGTGGGTTGGAGAATGTTGGTCGGCGGTCTATGCTCCATTAGGAGTAACAGGCGTAAGTGAAGTGAAGTGAATTGCCTCCACTGTGTATAACTAAACCATTTTACTGTTTTATTAATTAAATATTTATAATGGTTATTTTTTAAGAGACTGATCAATAACAGTCTCAAACATCAATGGGAAGATTCAAGTAAACAATACCAAGTGAAATTAAACTTCACCCTATTACACCCTATTACAAGTGGCTATCAAGATTCAGTAGCTAAGTGGATAATACGATAGCGTTTGAAGCAAACGGTACTGGGTTCAAGTCCCAGAATGGCACATCAACTTTGAGATGTAGGTACATCCAGCTGACGAGTCCCAAATAGGAAGAAACGCGTATCTTGGATTACATTGCTAGGCACTATCCATCTTTCCTTATAATGATTGTAAATGAAAACAATATCGCGGTAGTAAGCACAGTATGCACATATGCCAATAAGAGACTGATCAATTGCAATCCTAAACATTAATCGGAATATTCAAGTAAAACAATACCATATGAATTTAAGTTGTTTATTATATTTACCATATTTCCACCTTGTGAATTAGTTTTTGAGTCAGTAACTATTCCATATAATTTCGTGCACATTAAATTGAAATTTTGTTCAGTCTTGTTATTATAATACATTGAGATGTTGTCATACCAACCAGGTTCAGGAGCATTTGAAAATGTCTAATTAAACAAAAGAAAAAAAGAAGAAGAGAAGATAGAAACGGTTTTCTAATATTTTTCTCTGTTACGGTAAAATTATCAAGTGCATTATATTAAAATTAAGCATAAAATATGCAAAAAATATTTACTTTTTGTAGATTGAGAGATATATTATGTAAGTTCGAAGACTTTCGACGAACACCTCTCACGGTGATTAATGGAAGAGTAGAATAAGATAACGGAGCAGAAACCTGGAGAATTACGAAAGCCATCAACCAGAAGATACAGGTGTTTATTAACAGTTGTCTAAGCAAACTACTTCAGATACGTTGGCCAGACACTATTAGCAACAACCAACTGTGGGAAAGAACAAACCAGATCCTAGTGGAGGAAGAAATCAGGAAGAAGCCCTGGAAGTGAATAGGACACACATTGAGGAAAGCACCCAACTGCGTTACAAGACAAGCCCTCACATGGAATCCTCAAGGTCAAAGGAAAAGAAGAAGACGAAAGAACACATTACTCCGAGAATTGGAGACAGACATAAGAACAATGAGCAACAATTGGATAAAACTAGAAAAGAAAGCCCAGGACAGAGTGGGTTAGAGAATGTTGGTCAGTGGCCTATGCTCCATTCGGGATAACAGGCGTAAGTAAGTTTAGTTTTAATATAATTTTTAAAAAAGTATTCTTACTTGTTCAATCATCAAAATAGATCAGTTTCCATGTTTGTATACTAATCAAAACCCTTGATAATTAGATATAATCCTTGTATATGAAAATCAATAACTTCGATATTAAAACAATTTAAGTTATCCATCATTGAATATTTACAATAGTATACTTATAGTTTGATCGTGTACTATGAATTCATGAACGACATATACAATATTTCAATTGTATCCATCTATCTATCTATGTATATATGTATATAACTTACAGTTCGTTCACTGTTTCATGATTGGCATAATGGAAACTAACTATTTATATTGAAAAATAAAACATTAAATACAATTAATCAAACAAAGCTCCTCTATCATGCCTATTGATTTGTACTATGTATATTACAATAAATCTATTGTAACTAATAAATGGATATGGATATATCTATACAAGTTAGAGGTGTTTATCTGTAACTAAATGTATTTGTCGTAATATATTACGTTCGATGATTACATTGATGATATTCAACAATTCGAAATCAATTATATAAGCTTGTACATGTTGATGAATGATATTTTAAGTGATAGTGAAGAATGTAAATTAGTATAGGTATATGATAATCACTTATAGGAAAAGTTAATTTCATTCATAAGTAATTTAGAAAAATAATATAATATAAATAAATGAAGGATTGCCCTCAAATACCCTGGCACAGCGGAGAGTGAGGAGAGGCAGCTACCCCTCTCCAAATGCTCTCATATGGCCACGCGTATATAGCCTCTGCCAGAGAAGTCCTATTCACTCCTTCTCGTACCACGAGTGTTGTTTACGAAATTGAGAGGACGGAAAGTGAATGTTCGGCGCTTTAACCGGATCGGTGAATACGGAGAGTTCACCTAGGGGAGTTGAAAAACCCTGATTCCAAACCAATAGTTCACATGGGCTCCAGTATCCTGAAGGAACAAATGGTGTATTAATCAGTTGTTGGTCACCGGCTACCATGGGACTGCATCTCCTTACGATGCTCCACTGCCTTGTGGATCAGACCTGCAGGTCGAAGGCTCGGGGAGTGGCCTCCTAAGAAAACCACCTGCTTTGGTTTGGGCACCCGGGCAGTATCACAGCCCTCACACGTATCAAATGAGATCTGTGTGACGCATATGTATTTGGTGCCTTCTTGTACCAATATCTATGTGTTAAAATAAATAAATAAACGAGGCATTATAATATTATAAAGTTTTGTAATTTTTGAATAGTAAAGATTTCTATAATAATTTCTTTTCATCTGTATATTATAATTGGAAATGTATAGTGCTTTCAGTCAGTCAGCAACAACGTAGGATCAGGCACATATATGCATCGGTCGAAGTTGCCATACCTCATTAACACAACAAGATCAACACCGGAATCATAGAATCAGTTAACTCAATGATGGTAATAAATAAAATAAAGATTGCATATAACGATATAGTACAGGAAGAAAGAATTAGTTCGTAGAATCAAATGTATAAAGCAATTTTAATCTCACGGTTTAACGGAAGATAGAGTGTGTATACACCTACACAGTTGTGACCGATTCTGAGCCATGTCACTCAGAATCTCCAACCATTGGCTATGATGGTCACGCGGACCCCAATCAGGTAGTCTGCATCTATCAACATAGCTCAGACCAGAAGTTAGTGACTACAAGGACTGGTGACACGTTTTGGTTTGGCCGCCCCTAAATTTCTTACGGCCGGCCCAACACTAGCCGGCACTGCGCGTCGTGGTAATCGGTGTTCAAGCATACGTAACACGTGGCATAACTATTTCAGTCGATGAAGATTCACAACCTCATCAACTGATCCACCATCATTCCCTAATACCCTGCGTCTAACCTCACTATTACTAACGCGGTGATCCCAGCAGATGCTGGAAATATTTCTGAGTCATCTGTGGTCAAATACTAGTAGCTTGTGACTATCTTCTACTCTTAATGGTCAAGTTTCACAGCCGCAAAGTAGAACACAACGAACAGCTGCGCAGTATACTCGTCTCTTAATTGATAGACGGATATCTTGCCTTCGTCATAGTTGGTGACGTAAGTTGGCAAAAACGAAACGACCTTTAGCATTGATCGGTTAGAATTCCAATCTTTATATAACTGTTTTTTGATGGGTTTTTGTTCTCTGAACTAGATGATTTAGTTATGGAGCTTTCATCGTTCTTCTGAACGATATCATCAGCACAAACTTTAGGTAGAAGTCAAAATCATTCAATTGAGCTACAAATCTTCTCTACCATCTCATATAATTGCTTTTTTTAAAAAGTCTGTGTCAGTAAGTAATGAGTATACGTCCATAAAACATTACTTAGATTGACTACAGAAGCTTGTAACTGTATCCGATAGTTTATTTGAACAATGTTTTACCTTTTATTTTAGTCAAATAAAAATAATTAATATCAGATGGGTTTTGTGGAGATTGTAGTAATTTCAATGGTTAAGATCATGAGTCAATTGAAGCTAGACCACCATGGAAAACCTGGAAGCACTGGACAGCCGTTTCGTCCTAATGTATGACTCCTCAGCAGTGCGCATCCACGACCTCGCCCCCTGCGGGATTCGAACCCAGGACCTGATGGTTTCGCGCGCGAGCACTTAACCATTATACCACTGAGCCGGAATCCAACGGATGCATGGATGCGCACTGTTGCGGAGTCCCATACTATGACGGAACGGCCGTCCAGTGCTTCCAGGTTTTCCAAAATGGTCTAGCTTCAACTGACTCATGATCTTAACCATTGAAAAAATGGTTAAGTTAGTAAGACAGTACCAATTACTTGTATTTATGATCACAATGTAAAAATAGCAGTATTTATTATTAAAAACAAGTATACGTTGTTTACGTTACATTAAGGTGAGAGATGACAGAGATATCGGTTAATACTATAATAAATATTGGGGAAAAAATGTGAGAATTCTTTATTTGATTCTTTATCTTTAAGTTATCCATATCAGAATCCCAGATTAAGAAAATCTTGAAAACTCGTCTAGCCAGATTTCTAAAAGTGGGAATATCATTTAGTACTTCTGATCATATTCACATATTATTCAAAGACAATTCATTGTAGGTTGTTGTTCGTCGACCTTGCAAGTGTTTTCATGTAAAAGTAAACATGTAATAATAGTATGAAATCGTAACTAGACTCATATGTTAATCAAAATGAGCTGGGAGAGAGACTATAATATATGAATGAATCAATCAAATTTAGGATTATAGGTCTTGAATTTTGGCGTGAAATTCACTCATCCATTTCTTCAAATAGCATCTTGGCATTTTAGCTGATATCAGTTTGGGATGAAAAATCGTCAAGTTAATTCTTAACCCTAACCATCAATTGTGAATAATAATCTTTATTCTTCGAACTGCTTTACAACTCTCATTTGGCTCTGGTAAGTAGGTAAACACTCAAAGTCACTTCGGTATCGTTCTAAAAATAGTCCATAAATTATAGTATATATATATATATATATATATGTATATATGTATATATGTATATATGTATATATAATTTGTTTACTAATAGGGTAACAATTAGATACTAAAACATTGCATCTTGTCAAACCAGTTCTTTTTCTAACAAGACAAAATATTGGAAAATTTGGTGAGACTTTAATTTATGGACGACCTTTGGGCGACGCTAGACTGACCTTGAGAGTGTCCACTTAATGACCATGACTAAATGAGGGTTATGAATCTGTGTGAGGAATTAAAATTATAATTACAGTTGATGAAGATTAGGAATTACATTTAGGGTTTTCATCACGAACTGACATCAGCTTTAATGCCGAAACTCTATTTAGTCAAATGGATAAGTGAATTTCTCACCAAAATCCGAGACCTATTATCTTATACGTGATTACTTCGTCTATAAATTATAGTCTCACCAAAGATTTTGTTGAAATAGAAAGTTTCCAACTATTGAACTACAAAATCTAGACATCATTACAAATCTTTTGTTTTGACTTTGTAATTATGTCTACACAGTAAATTTTTTATCTCTATTTCTTAGTTAACCAATAAGTAATTCATCTCATAATAAATCTTTTATAGTATTATATGTTCATTGGTTAAAGTGATCTGTTTTTAAACAAACTGATCCCAGGTTCAAGAGATTATTCTCTTATTCTGTTTGGTCAATCTGATAGATTTCATGACAAATGTGTAGCTTAAAGTAGGTTACAAAAACTTTGCATTTAATAAACGAATTACACAATGTTAACTTAAGTTAAAATACATATTTACTCTGCAGTTGTTAACTGTCTTCAATGAGAATATTAAATCATCCCTAAGATTCCATCGATCATATCGTATAACTGTAAGTATGTATATATATATATGAGTCGGTGTTCATATCCTCTGTAAATACAAAAATGTTTCAATGGTTAAGATCATGAGTCAGTTGAAGTTAGACCACCATGGCGCGAAACCAGCAGGTCCTGGGTTCGAATCTCGCAGGGGGCGAGGTCGTGGATGCGCACTGCTGAGGAGTCCCACAATAGGACGAAACGGCCGTCCAGTGTTTCCAGGTTTTCCATGGTGGTCTAGCTTCAACTGACTCATGACCTTAACCATTGAAATTACTACAATCTCCACAAAAAACCCATCTGACAAAAATGTTTGTAAATATTCACAAGCGAGTGATTTTTACAAGATCTTTCATGAATATTTGCCTTCATATGTTATATCCCAATAAGAATAATGAATGACAACTTTTGGGATCCATTTATGGACAATACTATGAGTATATTTTTATCGTATAATTGTTAAATTAACTAAACTATTCATATTCATGTCCTCCGTATTATGAGTATTATTTTGACCTATGAACTATTATTATACGATTTACCGTTCTTGAATTGTTCCCTGTCTGTTAATCACTATCTTCCTCATTCACAGCCACTTTTGGCCAACTATTGTACAAATGTTATTTTCTATTTTATGGTACGTTGTGGTAGGTTTGATTGGCATATAAACCCCGTATGTTTGAGATAAATGATTCATATTGCAGAGGCTGAGATTGGTGTTCTGGACTTAACTGGCTGGGCTAGGCAGAAAGAAGGACCAAACAGGACTCTAGGCTGCTCGCAAGTGTTTACGCGTCATTGATCCGATTGATAAGTCACTGTTCTCTAATTGGCGGTCACAAGTTATGACAATATGCAACCTAACTAATACAACTTAGTAAACAACTCTCAAGAATCAATGTATACAAGTGTCAGTTATGTAGTTTCACTGTTTCTCATAGAAAACTGTGTGAATTTTGCATTGAGTTTATGAAGATTATTCAATTTAATTTACTTATTCACATGAATATTTGGGTGAGGGTATTTGTATTGATAGACGCTTGATCTACATCATATTAGGTTGATTTAAAACAGTTCAACTTTTTTCGAAATGAAGTAATGATTTTTTAAATAGTTGAATTCATGAGTTGATTTAAACAAGACCACTATTGAACATCTGGAAGCACTGAACTACCGTTTCGTTGTAGTATGAAACTCCTCAGCAGTGTGTATCCACGGTCCAGCACGCGGGACTCGATTTTAATGGAAGCGAGAAATCTGGGAATATTTGAATTTTTTAAATAATCGTAAAAAACCTATTGTCATAAGAAATGAAATAATTAATTGGAATGAGCAGATTATGATTACGGAATTCACTCTTCAAATTTTATATCATTATCTTTGTTTAGAACACAGCTATGTATCAGGAAGCAATAGGCAGTGTTTTAGTCCTAGTCTAACGTCATTCATCAGTGGGTCACCAAAACCCCTGGAGGAATCAACGTCAAGAACTTTTGGCATTGAGGCGAGAGCTTAGTGGTGAAATCTTCTGCTTTGCTTTTCTGACTTTAATCAATGAGTGGTGTTGCGTGACCATTATCCAATGCATTTGCTAAGTAACTGTCTCATTCTTAACATGATTGCACTTTGTTGGTTACGGTTTTTTGTCAAAATTTAGAGAATTACCTATTGAAGTTAATCATTGATAATCATATGTTGTTTGTTATTAAAAGTGTTTCTGTATGGAATAGTTACTTCACTTATATTTGTTTCCGAATATTTAGCTCTCCAGTTTTACAAATGCGAGAAAAGATCCCGTGAGCAGGATCGTGGATGCTCACTGCTGAGAAGTCCCACAATAGGACAAAACGACCGTCTAGTCCTTCAAGGTTTCAGTGGTGGTCTAACATAAATCAGCTCATGATCGCAATCAAAAACTTAATAAATAAAAAAATGTGATTACAGGTAAAATACCACTCTAATGAATTTTAAATATTCCATTTATAATAGTATTATAGAAATGTTCCAGGACAGATCGGGTTTGAGTATGCTGGTCGGTGGTCGATGCTCCACTAAGAGTAACAGGCGTAAGTATGTAGGTATATAAATGTTAATAAAAGCACCCTTTGCCGTGTTGAACACCATGCCTTCATCACTATAAAATGCTAATGAAACTCATAAGAAGACATAGTGATTAAACTGGATTAGATAAAACTGTAAACATAACGTACTTTTCAATTGAATTACGAAATCAGAGAGAGGTTTTGTGGAGATTGCAGTAATTTATTAATTGAATTAATTAGCCAATTGAAGCTAAACCACCATGGAAAACCTAGAAGCATCAGACGGCCGTTTCATCCTAGTATGGTTTTCCATGGTGATCTATCTTTCATTGATTCACGAATCCAATTATTAAATTATTACAATCTCAAAAAAACTTCTCTCTGATTATAATCATTATATGCTTACTAGTGACGGCCTCCAAGAGTTATTTCCTGAAGTTCTAGTGAGAAGAAGTGAGCAGTGAAGTGCAACCACGTCTGTTTTGAGATAGCAATTCACTGAACACAAAGGTGAACGGTGACGCAATTTCATGGATTGGTTGAAGTTAGATATCAACACTATTGAACGCCGACCTAGTGATCTAGTTGTTAAGCGTTCAAGCGCGAGACTGACAAGTCGTTGATTCAAATCTCTCGATGCAAGATCGTGGATGCACACTGTTGAGAAGTTTCATATTAAGATGAAACGACCATCCAGTTCTTCCAAGTTTTTCATGATGGCTCATAAATTCAATCATGAAATATTTCAACAACAACAACAACAAATAAGATTGAGTAAATAAGAAACAATTACTTACTGCATTTAAATCTTTATTTAAATGTAAAATTAAATGTGTAATATCAAATGCTTTATCTACAGATCTATGTGATGATTGAAGATATTGTTTACACCATATTGTAGCATTTTGTTCAGCTTGTATATAAATAATAATAATATTTGTGAAAATATTAAAGAATACAATTACATTCAATATAATAATTGATGTACTTCTCTGAATCATAGTTTTATAATGAGACTAGATTTGATTCTATTACATCCAATTATATTTAAGAATATTGTTTAATGTAAATCGTGTACAATGGTATACAATTTCAATGGTTCTTCTGAATATGATTCAATGAATGATGAACATTGATGAATATAATGTGAATAATCCATGTAATCTATGTTGAATAAATGTGTATTTAGCTCACAATTAATCGGTTGTGTATTTAACTTATATATATGAATTCAGAAATCCTGCTATTAATAACATCAGTATCTCAATACTCATTATTGATAGTTGCCAACTTAAAATGTATTTTTTTATTATAAAAAGATATTCATTGTTTAATTACCGGAAGTTATAATTAACTTTCGATGGTAATAGTTCTAATAATAATAATAATAATAATAATAATAATAATAATAATAATGGTAATAATAACATTACTACTACTAATACTAGTAATAATGATGATAATAATAATAATAATGATTATTATTGTTATAACTGGAATTAAAGTAACGAAAACATTCTATGAAAATTTATATCTGTTTTGGAAAAATTAGACTGATTTATGGTTAATAATATAAATTTTAATGTTTATGAAATGAATTCACTATTCAATAAATACTATAAACTAATGATGTATATATATATATATATATATATATATATATATATATATATATATATATATATATATATATATGGTAACTGAGATAATACTTAATCAATATAACAGATTGAAATCATGAATCAATTGAAGCTAGACCACCATGGAAAACTTGGAAGCACTAGACGGCCGTTTCGTTCTAGTATAGGACTCCTCAACAGTGCGCATGATTTCAATCTGTGAAATTTCTAAAAATCATCATCATCATTTCGTATAATCACATTCAGTAATCCTGGTTATGTATTTTAATCCAATCGTTTTTGTTTATTTGCTTTTAGGAGAGGGATAGAGAGAGTAAGAGAAATTGAGTAATAATTGATCGGAAACTTTGAAATTTCACGATTTCATTTTATCTTTCTCGAAATGTTTATGATTTTTATTTTTTTTCACAAAAAACAAGTACCTTAGCAACTACATAAAGATTAATGAATATGAATATAATTTGTTTAATTCAATAAATTAACTTATGGAACAATATAAAATTTGATAAGGATCGGTACGAAAAACATGGACATTTTCAGAGAAATTGAGAGGGGGGGAGCGAATTTTTAAGATGAGATTTAGCAGTCACCTTAGCAACAAAATATAAGTAAACTTTTTTTATTTATGCATAATTTAGTATCATGTATTTACATATTAAACATAGAATTATACTTAGTGTGTACCGGTTTATGAGAATCATTTGCATCTAATGTGAATGTATTAAAAAAAAACATGTTAGTTATTGGAATCCAGATATTGTTTCGGAAGCAGTTGTTGTTGAATTTACCTTTATCCTTCAATTGAAAATCAATAATGTTACAAGAACGAGTGTGATGGTTACAAGATATTCCTGAGACTGTTTATTAATAGATTATTTTCATCAACAGTGAGAAAGTTGATTTATCAAATGATATGATCAACTATATTTAATCTCATCACAGTATTGATTTTCCAAATCCTATGAATATCCAATCTTTTTGCTGTTTGCAAGCATAGTGTGTAATGTCACACTACAATAGTTGAATTGTTTTTCGTGTTCATGTCCTTGTATTGAACTTATACTTACATATGCAAAGATGGATCGTGGCTAGCTGTGGAATCCAGGATGCACGTTTCGTCATATTCGGGGCTCGTCAACCGGATGTACCTGCATCTCGGAGTTGATGTTCACTCCAGAATCCAGATACATCTAGCTAACGAGTTCCAAATGGGACAAAACTCGCGTCCTGGATTCCGCTGCTACCCACCATCCATCTATGCATATGCTGATCAATTGCAGACCTAAACATCAATGAGAAGATTCAAATAAACAATACAAATGAATTAACGCTACTTACATATTAGAAGACGAAGATTATCAGAACTATGTGATGTATTAGCGCAATACATTTCGAACAATCTGGTCACACATATACTTGTTAAGAGCATCTATATATAAAAATAAAAGGTCAACTAGACAGGAAACGGGGTAAGAGGAGATAAGGATAATAATAATAATAATAATAATAATAATGTGAACACAAAGCGAAACCTAATCACTCTGGATAAGTCAATATTACCAGGGTAGGTTTAAGGTAAGAACAAACTGTTTTTGAAACACAAAGGGGGTTTGAATTTTCGTATGGCTAAGGCTTCAATAAACCTTAGTATACGCCCTTTTACACTTTTATACAGCACTACAAAAGCTGAATTTAGATCAATCTTGTGACCTGTTTCAATTATATGTTTAGCAATAGAGGATGATGGATGTTTATCCTCTGCTCTTATTGGGTCACTTGATTGTATTTGTTTCTGAAGCCATTTGGGTACATGTTCACTCACCCTAATGTTGAGATCCCTATGTATGTGTGACCACACACACATTTAAATTGGTAAACACAGTGGGATGTGACGCAATCGTTTCCATGTACTTTAGGTTTTGAATGAAGCATGCACCTTGTTCTTTCTTTGATGATGACCTTTGCTGCGCAATAGGTTTTATTGATGACTGATTTAAGTCGTTGTTTCAATAAAAGGCTATTTGAATCACCTCTGAATGGTAAGGTGATGTAGACAGGCTTTTTCTCTACCGAGGCTACAGTAGGTCTCGCTGTACCATGGACTTTCCATCTATTTATGAATTTCAGAGGATAGCCATTTTCTATTAACGTTTTATTTAACAACTTAACATCATCATCAATGGCGTCATTGGTACAAATACGGTCGAGTCTGTTGAAAAGACACCTTATCAAACCACGTTTGTATTGCACAGGGCAATAACTATAATAACTAAGATATTGACCTGTCCACGTTGGTTTTCTAAAAATAGATCGCTTGACTGAGCCATCTCGTCTACTCAGAAGTATATCTAGGAAGGGAAGCTGATCGTTTTTCTCCTCTTCACATGAGAGACTAATATGGTTTTGGAGAGTGTTAAGTTTATTTAATAAACGGTACATATCCTCTTTTCTCTCACAAACAACTAAGATATCGTCCACATATCTCTTATAAAGTGACATGTTTCCGATTAGGTCATCAGTCTGATTTTCAACATGTGCCATGAACACATCTGCTAATAATGGTCCTAGCGGACTACCCATAGCAACTCCATCAATCTGACGAAAGTATTCACCTTCAAAAGTGAACTGAACTTTGTCAGTACATAATAATAGTAAATCTTTAAGAAGTTTTACAGGTACATGTGATTGAAAATTGTTTTCAGATATGTAATCACGTAATATATCAAAGGTTTTTTTCAAAGGTACATTTGTAAACAAGGGATTAATATCACCTAATTGGTCAACCAGTTCAAAAGAATCCTTTAGAGAATACTTACATAGATGTCTTCGAACAGGGTCCAAAAACTTTGTTAACCATCTAGCCAGATTATGTGTAGGTGATCTGCACATTGATAGAATTGGACGTAAAGGAACATTAGGTTTGTGAATTTTAGGTAGTTCATATGAATGAGGGTACTCGGAACCCATAGGTTATAGAAAATTAAATTCCTCTTTATTAATAATATTCATGCGTAGCAATTTTTCTAGGTTTGAATTTTCTCTTCCTTCTAGTTTGCTAATACCTCCAAATCCAACATCAGGCATAAATTTACTTTCATCACTAAGGATGGATAACATCTTACTTTTATATTCACATTTATTCATGATAACTACACCTGATCCTTTATCAGATTTTAACAAGACAATATCAGAGTTTGTTCGTAGTTCTTTTAATGATCTAAAATGCTAAGAAGTTAATATGCTTCTTTGCTTCGGTCCAACATTATGAAATTGGTGTGCTATATCCACTAGTTTAGCTTTACACCAGCTTTGATTATTTAAAGACGTAGGGGTTAGAGTACTCAGTTGATCATATAGATTTTCAAATTGGGCATTTATTTCCAATTCAGACATTTGCGTTATAGGGACCAAGAAATTAAAACCAAGAGGAAGTGCTTTCTTTTCATTAGCAGATAATACAATGAAAGATAAATTAGTGACATACTTTTCAGGACTTACTGGGAATAAATTAACTTGATTAGTAATAATACAAGATTTTCCGAGCTTTTTACTGATCCTTTCCTTTGTTTTCAAAATGACATTACTGCAAAAGTTGGTGAATTTAATATGGCAGACTATAGATATTTCATTTAATATAGGCAATGCTTGAGTGTGTCTATTTGACCTTTTATTTTTGTATATAGATGATCTTAACAAGTATATGTGTGACCAGACTGTTCGAAATGTATTGCGCTAATACATCACATAGTTCTGATAATCTTCATCCTCTAATATCATTATCGAAATTTATCAAAGGGACTAATTGTTTTAAAGCTACTTACATAGTTTAAATTCTTGCATGGTTTACACTTTTAGTGCATATTTTAGGTATCTATCGTTGTTATTAATTTGAAATTCAAGAAATGTGCTGCTTCTCTATTAGTGTTTAACTGGATTTAGCTGCTACACTGGAAATCGAATGAATTGATGATAGAGTCGTGCATCGATGTTTTTGGGCTTTCAATGATATGCAACTCTAGTTTTACAACTGTTTTGTATGATTAGAGATTGCTTATGTGTCCATAAAGGGTTGTAGAAAATGTCGAATTTCATTGAATTTAGACCTGTACATTAGTCGACCTCAGTCAGCGGTCTAGATGTCAAGTGTTCGCATGTGTAAACGACAGTTCTAAATTCGACCTCCGGTTGAGGCGCTGTTTATGGGATTACGCAACAATGTACACTCATGGTTCTGTAACTGGAAATCGAATCCAGGACCTTCGTTCTTGCGCTCAAACGCCTAGTCTCTAACCCACTGGGTCGGAATCTTATTCGCAAGGTCATGAGTGCGCACTGCTGTGAAGCCTTATACTGGGACGAAACAACAGTTTGATTCTCTTGAGTTTTCAATGATTTTTGAACTTGATCGGTTTATAATTTCAATGAGGTTTTATCTATAAATAAACAATAATACTGTGCTAAGAATTCTATATTGTAATAAACATAATGATTAAAGTCATTATTAATAATCAGTAATAATAATACAGTTTCCTGACTAGGTGTAAAATCATCTATAAGTTATTAATTATTATTAATCGGCGGCCTGATTGAGCATCTGGGCTACCTGTTCCTACCA